TAATTGGCTGCCGACGGCCTACGGCGGTTAACCTCCCGACAGTCGGGCCACTATTGTCTGCCACGAGTAGGAACTGACTATGCCGTCACTGGGCCAGTTTTGGGCCGTTTTTAATTTCGCACTTGGGAAGTTTTAGAAATAAAATGATATAATGAGTATATAAAACTTGTTACTTGGCATTAAATAAAACATTTTAATTTGCGATTATAATCTTTATTAGTTTAATTTCATGTAAAATATAACTTTAAATAATTTCAATAATTGAAATATCAGTACCATTTTTTAACTACAAATTAATTAATACGATAAAAAAAATCACAAATGCACTCAGAAAATTACTTGATTAATACCTATAACATTTGTAATATTCCTTGTTTAAATTTAAGCAATAACATAATGATTACTTTTATCACCCAGAAAAAAGATATATTTGGCTCAGAAGCAAGTAGATTTTTTATTATTGTTTTAAATTAATTTTATTTGATTTAAATAAAATTTTTATTTAAAAAAATTTAAAAAGGTCTAGTTGTTTCAATTAAGACTTTTGCTATTCTAGAGAAACTTATTGCTCTTCCAGATAACATTTTTTTTGTCTTGTAGTAGACAAACAATATGACAGTGTTCATCATTTTGATTGCTCCATAAATAATGATTATGTAATATTTATTTCTAAAAGTTGTTCCTTCATGTAGAATTTCGCATTGAAAATATTATTTTTGAAATATCTTGACGAAGCTTTAAGAGTTTCCTGTCTGCACTTTTTAATTATATTATATAAAGAATAATTTAATTGAAATTAAAAGTCTATTATAAAAATGGTTTCCCTGTTAAAAAACAACCTAATATTGTGGATTTTCAAAAATAATTTTAATTATTAGTTTAGTTTACTATTCATTCTTTTTCCAATTTCTGAAACTAATAGAACATGTTGGCTCATGACGTGTATTGGTTAGGTTAAATCACGTGATAGGTTCAAGTGCGTAATCGGGAAATTTATGCACCCTTATGATACATATAATTTTAACTTTATTGTTTTTAATTATTGACAATTAATAACTTTAATCTTTTTTTGACTATTTTGTTAAAAGTAAATGTATGTAATAAGGTTTTCATAGATTTTAAAACGAATTTATAAATAATGTTTAAGTAAAAGATTTCCTAAAGGCTCCTAGAGTTTTACATTCAGTCCTGACAGTATAGTTGCGTGGTGAGGCTTTCATTTTACCCAACTTTTAGACAAACTGTGTCACACGCAGGTAAATATCTACCAAAGTACAGCATAAAGTAATTACAAATAGTAAATCAGTTTATGATCAAATGCATACCAAAGTTTAATCTAATGTCTGTTTTAATCTTTAAATTACTTTTTGAACATTCTTTAAAAAATACATTTTAATAACAATTGTGACAAAGTGATTCGTCACTGACACTAAAATTTTAATTAACACCTCCGTGCCCGTCACAGTTCCGCCCCTGCACAACGAAATGGACATTTCCGCCTGATTTGAAAGAATAATAAATGTAGTTTGAATTTTTAATTATTATTATTAACAGTTTTCGTTTAATTTGAAATTATAGGTTAAAAAAATTGAGTATTTTTAAGGTAACTAAAATTTAGTAATGAATGAATAGAATTAGTAATGGAGTAATGAATTATTTTGTTAATTTCATAAAAAAAAAAAATAAGTAAATTAAGTGGCGCTCAACTGAGCATTTTTTTTGAGTAAAATTTATTTTTTGAAAGACTTGAGAAATTCATTGTTGACTAGACTGAAGGCGTATTTGACTAATTAAAATTTAAATAGCAAATAGAGTCTAAAGAAATTATCGTTGATTTAATTTAAAGTAAAATCCTAGTTTAATAACATTAAATTTAATTGTTAATTTCCCTTGGTCACAATTTTTGGCGCCCAACGTAGGGCCAGAAAAAAAATTTAAAAAATTTAAAAAAAAGAAAAAATTTTGACCAAGGGAAATCAACAATTAAATTTAATTTAATAAACTTAGAATTTTACTTTAAATAAATTAACGATAATTTCCTTAGACTGTATTTGCTATTTTAATTTTAATTAGTCAAATACGCTTTCAGTCAAGTTAACAATTAAATTTCTCATGTCTTTTTTTTTACAGAATGGAGGGGATCCATTCAACCAATTTTTGTCAAGAGAAAGTAAAGGTGCAATTCGGAAAATAAAATTTAATGACATTTTTTCCGATTGTGATAATAAGAGTGTTAACATTTTTGAGAAAATTGAGTTTAGAGAAAACAGCGGATTGTGTCGAGAGTCGTTGGGGACAAAAATGTCTTTTACCTGATTTTGTAGTGAATGATTTACCGAATTCTGATCAATCGACAAGTAATATTCAAATTGCCAACGATCAGACCGGTAATTCAATCCAAGGGGGAAAGAAAGCTGTTGTGAAAACAGCTGAGCCCACAGTGGATGACGAAGCTGTTGACGGAGCGAGGACTGAAAACAGATATTTCTTGAAATTAGTCATCGCTGATCAACCATATCTTGCGTTATTTTTTCCTGGGGCAATGATCTCGGTGGTAGGCCCTAAACTAGCGGAGAAATTTAAATCGAAGCTTCAATCAACTGATACAATGATACAGAGTGCTATCGGTGGTTCTACAAACACTCTTGGAAAATTGAAATTGTGGTTAACCGTCCATGGTGTCTCTCAGCCATTCGAGTTAGGGACGAACGACTCATTGACTCAAGAAGTTATTTAGGGAGTTGATTTCTGTCGAGCGTTCGACATGGACGTACAACTTGGAAAGGGTCTATGGAGAGTGAGTAATAAAGAGTGGCATGAGTTTGCCAAAAATATAAACCAGCGTAGTGACAGTGACATTTTTGCAGAGTGTGCAGGAATTTCTGAAATAACAAGTGATCAGCGTGAACAAATTCAAGAGTTAGTCAAGAATTTAATAATACCACCGTCGAAAGAGCATGGTATGACAACGCTCATTGAACATCACATTGTTGTTTCTAATTCATCACCAGTCAAACAACGACCGAGAACAATGGCTCCTGCAATTTTGGATTGGTTAATAAAGGAAATTAAAAGACTGTTGGACATGGGAATAACCGAGCGTTCAGCCAGCGAGTGAAGTAGTGCTCCAGTTGTTGCTCTAAAAAGTGATGGGTCTTATAGGTTGTGCTTCGATTATAGGGATTTGAATAAAGTAACGATTCATGATGCTTATCCAATTCCCAGCATCGATTCTATACTCGATAAGCATATTTAGGATACGTTCTTGACAACGAAGGACTAAGAACTGACCCTGACAAGGGTTATTATTTGGTCGGTGAAGAAGAAATTTCGTCCTTATTTGGAGGGTTCTAAATTTTGTGTAATTACGGACCACAGTGCTTTGAAGTAGTTGCGTAATTTAAAGGAGCCTACTGGTCGTCTTGCGCGTTGGTCATTGGAGCTCCAACAGTGGAATTTTGACGTGATTTATCGAAAGGGCACGCTACATCAAGTTCCAGATGCTCTTTCGCGAATAGTCGATCAGGACGAAGAGGAGAACATTGCTGCGTTTTAGACAATAAACGATCCGTGGTATCTAAATCGTCGTGAAATGGTGAGGAGTCACCCCCAGCGTTTTCCGGGTTGGAAAATAGAGAACGAGATGTTATACCGATCAAGAATCGATCCGCTGTAGACACCAGTCACCGGAAATGAGGAAATTTGTTGTTCCCTTAGAACATCGTGAGGAAATACTTACCGTGGCGCATGCTGAATTCTCGGCTGGTCACATTGGAGTCGACAAAACTTACGATCGAGTGGCGAGGGAATATTACTGGCAGGGTGTTTGGTATGACGTTCACAATTTCGTCACGCAATGCCCACCTGCCAGTTTCATAAAGTCTCTCAGCTGGGACCACAAGGATTGATGGGAGAGAGAATTGTTGAACGACCATGGTCTGTAGTGGCTGCCGACACCATGGAGTTTCCAGCGAGCAAAAGCCAATACAAACACCTTGTGGTCTTTCAAGATCTTTTCTCTCGCTGGGTGGAGTTGAAACCAATACGTTTAGCGAACGGCAAGACAATTGCCAAAGCGTTTAAGGAACTTATTCTTTTCCGGTGGAAAACTCCAGAGTTCCTTCTCACCGAAAATGGAAAAGAGTTCGACAACCGTCACTTGAAGGAAGTGCTGAAGGAGTGCGGAGTAAAGCACATAACCACACCACCGTACCACCCTCAAGCGAATCCGGTTGAGAGGTCAAACCGAACGTTGAAAACAATGATCTCAACTTTCATCGACTCTGATTATCGGAATTGGGATTCATACTTGCACGAATTGAGACACGCTATGAATACCGCCACACAAGCGTCAACAAAGGTATCACCAGCCTTTCTTAATTATGGTCGCCATCCAAGACCAGTTAAGAGTCTTCGGTGAGTTGTAGAAAATTCAACTTTAGTTGTGAGAATTGATCCAGCGTTGTGGACTGATTGTATGAAACGATTAGATAGATTTCGAGATATGGTTGCAAGAGTTGTTAATCAAGAGAGGACCAAACAAGCAGCGTATTACAATCGAGGAAGGAAAAATGTCACATTTAATATTGGAGACTTGATGCTTTGGAGGACTCACAAATTGTCCAGCGGCATTCGTAAATTTGCAACGAAACTGGCTCCAAAATTCGAAGGTCCTTTCGAAATTGTTCAAATATTATCTCCGACCGTCTATGTTTTAGGCACGAATGATAATAGGCGAATTCCCAAGGTGCACGTCTCAGAACTAAAACGTTACATTCCACCCCGAAATGTTAACAAGGGTTAATTCTACATTGATCGAGTATTTTATTTTTTTTGTTATAATTGATTTTTTTTTGGGTGACATTAATTTATTTTTATTTTTCCAGCGTTACTAACGTTAAATTGAATAATAAATTTGTGAAATTTGATTTTTAAATTTTTTTGTTTGTTTTGTTTTGTCTCTAGCGTTTGATTTTTGTTTATTTGTGGATTTGTTTTAGAAAATGTCGGGATCCGATAAAAAGATGCCAGCAAGGTCTCGAGGACGTGGTTTCTCTAGACCAAGAACCAACTCACCGGAGCGTCGTCCAGGAAATCAGGAACAAGTTTCGATTGAGGAAAATGTTTCGGACACGAGGGATCAAGCCAGCGACGATCTGATCCAATGGGAAAAATTCCCACTGCCTCCAGCCGTGGTACCTTTCCGCCACCATCACAGCATGTTGGCCGTTGCGGGACAAGGTCGTACTTTCCAGTGCTATCTGTCGGCAAGAAATTTGGGGGAAAGCGAACAAGCGTGGGAAAGTAGGCTAACGGTGGAAGAACTGGAGAGATACTTTCTTGGTAAAGATCCCAAGACTTCAAGGGAGAGAGAGCGACTACGAGACGAACAAAACAAGGCGTTTCGAGCCATTCGAACCGACATAATGTACATGGAGAATTATGTTAGCAGGCAACGTACGCCATCGCCCGAACGTCCGATCACTCCCCCTGGACCTCCAAACCGGAGAGCAGAAGAGAGTTCATTTCCGTTGGAACTGGCGAGTCTGGAAATTTCAACGAGAGGCCAACTCCCAATCATCACGAGAGGAGTTATGTTCGGAAACCTCAAACCTATTCCCACCGATCCCAACGTTGACCCCCCTCCCAATTCTTGTATCAGTTGCTGGAAGAAAGGACATCAGCGCAGCCGATGCCCGAACCCTTACGTCGGATACTGTAGAAATTGCGGCAGATGAGGAGTGACTCTGACGACTTGCCCACGTTGTTCCGAGAGACATTTGGCAGATATGGCCAAACAATATGGAAAGAAAAAGTAAGAGTCCTTCAGATCGGAGCGAATCGCCAAGGTACAGGAAACAAGAGGTCGAAAAACTGTCACTCTCACCAGCGACTCATCGAGCGGAGCCACCTCGTCATTACCTGAAAGAGGAGGAACAATTGAGGGACGGAAACGACCATCAATCATCATTTCTGAACCTTCGACATCTGATGGAAGATCCCAGCGTCTAAATAACGTAGAAGTCTCTAAGGATAAGAAGAGAAGAGTGGAGGTAGAAAGCGAGAATCACACAGAGGAACAGAAGGGGAAAGGCACAGACAAATTAAACAACAATGTGATTCCCGATGTCGATAAAGTCTGGAACTAACTTCAAAATCTGCCCACATTTCAACCTTCAAGGGTGGTAGATTTGGAACCACCAACTTCATCTACAATAGTTCCATTGATTCCCCTAAATTTTACCTTACAACCACCAGCGTTACCAAGGCCAGAGGACCATCAACAAATTCCTGCGGATGTGAGACCAGTGTTAGCCGAAGACCAAGCGGATCGTTTCGTGGAGCAGACAAGGGAGCTCGCTCAGGTGCTACGTGGATTGCCGGACGAGGCAATAATGTTGGCAATGCGAGAATTTTTTAAAGAGAAACGTCGCACAAATCATTAACTGTGGAGTGATTAGTGAGAGTGTGATGGTTTAATTTTTTTTGTTTTAGTTCATGCGTTTTTATTTCTTTTTTTTGTATTAAATAGAGTTTTTGATAGAAACATTTAAGCCTAAGTTATTATTTTTCTTTTATGATTCTGGGCGGTACTACGGGCTAGTGCTTTTCTTCGCGACGCGTCACATCTAGTTTAAAGTTGTTTTATATGCTAACGAGTATTATTAATTGTTTTTAATTTTAGTTTGTATGTTGATTTCTCATTTCCGTTTTGAGTCAACATGTGCTTGCTGTATGGAAAAGGCCGACAGAGTGCGTAGAACGCCGTGAGAGAACTTTGTGTGTTACGCCGTTCGTATTTTCAAGAATATATTGAGATTGAGAGTTATAATTTTTTGAGAGAGCAGAAGCGACGTAATTTCGAGAACGAAAAAGCATTCTCGAATTTGTTATTTCGATCGGTGTGTGATTTTTCAGTTGAGTAGAAAGAAAGTTGATTTCTGTGGTGTTTAATTGGCGAGTTGAAAATTTTGTGAGAGATTGACCGGTGGATTTGTATTTCGAAGTTTCTTTCATTGAACTGGCGAGACCATTCACAATAAAGTGATTGTAAATTGTCAACGAAAGTGGAACGAGTAGAGAATAGAACCAGCGTTGAATTATTGATAATAAATATTGTTTCTTGGATATTCCGGCGTTAACTTAATTCCTCCTTTATCAATAATTGGTGAGTTAACCTAAAATTTTTGCGTTTAAAAATTGTGTTTCACGCCATGTGCTTTCAATGGCGGTCTTAAAAGAATTTCACCCTAATCATTAGAGTCTAATTTTTTTTTGGTTGTCGATTTAGTAATTGAGTAATAAATTATTTTGTTAATTTCATAATTTGATAAATAAGAAAATTAACTGGCACTCAACTGAGCATTTTTTTTAAGTAAATTTTATTTGTGAGAGACATAAGAAATTTAATTGTTGACTTGACTAAAAGCGCATTTGACTAATTAAAATTTAAATAGCAAATAGAGTCTAAGGAAATTATCGTTGATTTATTTAAAGTAAAATTCTAATTTTATTAAATTAAATTTAATTGTTGATTTCCCTTGGTCACACCATACAAGAGAATTTTAAACATTATTAAAATGCCTATGTGCCATTTTAACCAACTTTTGACAAAACTTTATATAAAATATTTTCTCAGTTTGCCTATCGCCATTTATAACCCTTGAAACAACTAGTTGTCAAAATCCCCTAGATACCAAATTTCATACAAATGAAATATTTTTTGAAAAAAATTGTCCGCCATATTGGATACGCCATTTTGAATTTTTGAAAACCAACATCAGATACGTAATCAGCGACTCTATAAACCCCTATAGATACGAATTTTCATGAAGATTCATTTGAAAAATTTTGAGCTACGACTTTTGTCCAGCTACATTTACGATTTGTACCACTGTGGGACCATGAGAAAGTCCTAGTCAGCGATAGGGCGGTCACAAATGGGAAGGGAAAATTTTATCCTTTCCCCACTGTGATTAACCATTCGCTCTCTGGGTCATTCTCATGGATCGTGCGTCTGATATACTCAGAGTTTAATTTTTGCGACACGTCAAAAGTGCTATTTTGCTGATCAATTTATTTTGTAATTTTAATAATTGATTTTTTAATACTTGTCAAATATGGTTTCGCTGCCAACTTTGACATTCTAATTTACGATTTTTGTAATGAAAGTGTAAAATGTTAATTTTTATGGGAATGAGGGCTCCCAAAAAAGTGCGATTTTAGTGCTTGGTTTGTTTACATTTCACAACTTAAACATGTCCTTAAGGAGGTTCTTCTGCTGATGCTCTAAAAAAAGTGTTCTTTACATTGTTATACTATGAACTTAATACTAAGTATTGTGTCTACAGAACGACTTGAAATTAAGAGTACTCGATTTACTTCGACCACCCATTTAATGGGTTTTTTAGCCAAAGGAGAAGGAAACTGTAGAAAACCTCTCCTGAGTACAACTGGTTTACCGACGACCGAGTTCTAAAAAATGGTGTATACTGGATATTAATCCACAGTGAACATTATTATTCCTCGACGTCAAACATCCAGCTTGATATATTTGGAAAGTAGTGAAAAACACCTAGCTATAGCGTGGGTTGAAACGCGGTCACCAAGTACTAACAGTACTTGATCGTAAATCACGGAGTCACACTACTGAATTATGCCATCGGTAATATGGTACAATATTTTTGAATTTTCTTAACTTGCGATACTTCTTCACGATTCATCTATTGCGGGCTACTTTCTTTCTTCCACTTGCGGAATTAAATCATTTAAATTTTTTTATTCTAGTATTTCCTTAGATTAATTAGTTGTTTTTAATTATGATAATGTTATAGCAAACGCATAATTTGTTTTTTATCAATAAAATAAAAAATCTGAACCATTGTTAAAAAATTGCTACTATGTTATAAAATAAAATTATTTTATTAGAAAATAAATATGAATGATATTAAAAATTTACTTAACCAACCCAAATAATTCAAGATGTGCATAGTTATCTGATGAACTGTCTGCAAAGGGAGCTCAATCCACCAAGTAGGAGACCTTGTGCAAGTTTGAACTGTACTCTGCAAACTTGAACATCGGTTTCCATGACGTCGACTCTTTGGACAGGAGACAGCAAGAGGACTTGGTTTGGTTTTAGTATCCAATTTTGTTTCACGCTTTCAAACATTTCTAATTAAGAAGAAACCTATGCAAATATTATAACAACATAATTCGATTTCAATCTTAATGTCAAATAATGTAAATAATCGTAGAAGAAGAAGACTTATTCTGCATTAAAAAAATTAACTATTGTTTCTAATTCTTTTAATTCCATCTAATAATTAGAGAAAAATGTGGACAAAAGAATTTTTGAAATATTTGATTCCAATGCATGCAGTTTTTTTTAATTGTTTTACGAGTAAAAACTTGATATCAAAGGAACAATATCAAAAGTAAACATGAAATTGATGACGTCCATTGCTTTTGGAAATAATATCACGTTACTGTTGATATTCTGTATTTCAAAAACAGTATCGTATGTTTGATGATAAATAAAATAAAACCCAGCGTTATTATCAAGTATGGTGTAAAATTTATTGTATTCATTAAATGTTAACAATAATTCTGCTAATAAAGGCTTAAATTCATTCAATTGTGGTTATGAAACTGTTATTATTTACTGAATAAATATAGTGTATGAGGAATGGGTTTTCATTTTACTCCTATTACGAGTTGTAATATTTCATTCAGTGTATCTTGATTAAAAATTTCTATATTGTTTACCCTATCAAGAAAATAAAGATTAAAGAAATACGTTAAAAATATTAATTAAATGTACTTACGTGGTTTTTAACAAACGACAACTAATTTAAATTATTAGACCAAGATTTTCTGCTGCTGACAGTTAATAGATTTTATAACATAGGGAAGAGAAAATAAAAGTAAAATGTTTTCTGATACCAATAATTTCTTTCTCTCATCAACACTTTTAATTAGAATTTATAGCGCACTTTTTAGTTGTTTTTATTCACGCAATACCAATCACATTTAAACCATTGCAATCTTTTCGGTTATAAAGAAATGTAATAACTTAGTAAAAAAAGAAAATAATAACAGAATAGAAAGCAGAATTTTTAAATATTAAAATTATTTAAATAATAATACAAGTAATTCAAGTAAAAATAAATAAATAATTATATATATATATACTTAATTACAAATTCCGAACAAAGATAATAAATTAATAAAAAAACATATGAAGACAATAATAGTAAATGTCAAAGTCAAATAAATTTTAAAAATACGAACTATCAAATAAATTCAAAGGGGCATTTATAGGACAAAACAATTATAAAAAGTGGTAAAAAGTTAATTTTTAAAATCCCATCAGTAAAACATTGAGTCAATAAAACATTAAAATTTTATGACAGCACAATTTTATTCTGTACTTTTTTCTCTTATAAAATACATCTGCATGAATTTAATTTATCAGTCTACATTCATTTTTATTTATTTATCTACCTTTATATTACACTGAAGCACACTAATTTTATTACAGAAAATAAAAAAATTTTATTGTATTTGAATAAATATTAATATATTATATTTATATATTAATTTATTTATTCTTATTTGGGTGAAGTTCATAAATCTTTAGTCTCTACCTGGAAAATTAATCAAGGTACTAAAAAAATTTTTTCTAAAAGTTTGAACAAAATCGAACAATAATAATACGTGCCTCTTGGTAACTGAAATTTTAAATGTCGAATATGTGT